TTGGGACTTGAGACTTTAAATCAGCAATAAATAGAAAAATGATCCTTGCCACTCATCAAAATAAAAACCAATGCACAGAATTATGTATCTTAGTATAGTCTACTTGTGTGCCAAGTTATACTGAAATCAGACCAAAACTGCAGGAGGAGTAGCATTTTGAAAGATTTTCACAGAAATTTCTATTTTTAGTAACCATGGCAACATTGTTCATTGAAATCAAAAACCGATGCACAGAATTATGTATCTTAGTGTAGTCTACTTGTATGCCAAGTTATATCAAAATCAGACCAAAACTGCAGGAGGAGTAGCATTTTGAAAGATTTTCACAGAAATTTCTATTTTTAGTAACCAAGGCAACACCGTTCATCAAAATCAAAAACCGATGCACAGAATTATGTATCTTAGTATAGTCTACTTGTTTGCCAAGTTATAATGAAATTGGACCAAAACTGTAGGAGGAGTAACATTTTGAAAGAATTTCACAGAAATTTCTATTTTTGGTAACCACGGCAACACCGTTTATCGAAATCAAAAACCGATGCACAGAATTATGTATCTTAGTGTAGTCTACTTGTGTGCCAAGTTATACTGAAATCGGACCAAATCTGTAGGAGGAGTAGCATTTTGAAAGAATTTCAAAGAAATTTCTATTTTTAGTAACCACGGCAACACCGTTCATCGAAATCAAAAACCGATGCACAGAATTATGTATTTTAGTGTAGTCTACTTATGTGCCAAGTAATATTGAAATTGGACCAAAACTGTAGGAGGAGTAGCATTTTGAAAGAATTTCAAAGAAATTTCTATTTTTAGTAACCACGGCAACACCGTTCATCGAAATAAAAAACCGATGCACAGAATTATGTATCTTAGTGTAGTCTACTTTTGTGCCAAGTTATATTGAAATCGGACCAAAACTGTAGGAGGAGTAGCATTTTGAAAAATTGTTTACAGACAGACAGACAGACGGACAGACAGACAGACGGACGGACGACGGACGCATTACTATCGCATAAGCTCTTCTGGTCTCTGACCAGTAGAGCTAAAAACGAGCTCCCGTACATTTTACCTGTGTAAAAGTAAGCGTCGATTGTGAAAGTCAGCGCTTCTCGTAAAAGTCCATTAATGCTTCTTATGTGAATGAGAATTTACCTATACTTATATTGCACTGCACTGCAATGTTATGTCAATCAAAAGACAAAAACGTTTTAAGTATTTATTTTCTTTAAAAGCAAAAAATAGGGTCAGAAAGGATCTCTTAAATAAAGATATCAGTGCAGTGCTGCAATGCATCTCATTGTAAGTGCTTGACAACTGTCTACTTAAAACATATTTGGTCTAGTTTCATGAAGTTAAACATTGAATTTTCCTGTCTGACTGACGAGTGAACATTTTGAGACTCAATCAAATAAAGGGCCCATTATAGAACAATCAAAGGCGCTTCTCAGTACTGCATGCTTAGCCAGCTAGCGGTACTTGTTCTGTGAGAAAAACTCACTCTACATGTAAGACCAATCTTAACGTGTGAGTGACTCTCTAGTCTTATATAGTATACAAGCTTGTTATTTCTTAGTCTTGCCTAAATATTTGCATAATCATTTTGTCTACGTTGTTCAAAGGGGCGTAATTTCATTATCGAACTTTGTAAGAAACTTACAGTATGCAAATTTTGCAACATATACTTAGCCGCAAGAGGAAATTGTATATAAAGGGTGACTTTGGAGGGTGGATGGTGGGGAATGTTTTTAAACCCTTGACTAGTTGTGATTGTTGAAGTACAAGTATAACTGCACCATACTGCACTCTGCTGCAATTCAATGCAGCACATTGTGTTGCCTTGCCAATCAAAATAAACTTAGTCAATTTGTTGTCATTGAATTAAAAATATCATTAAAAACTTTTTTTTATTTCATGTAGTGTATTGAAAAAAAGTAAAAAAAAAAAAAAAAAAAAAAAAAAAAACTGGCTGAACTATTTTATTCATATTTTACTAATGACTGTTCTCTTTCATATACATCTCAATTAACAATCCAAAAACTTTATGTCGAAGAGCTTTTTCGACAAAGTTACGAATTGAGAATTCTTTATCGAAGGACTAGTTTGGGTATGCGCAAAACATCCTGAAGAAATGATCAATCCTCTTTGACTGATAAATGTTTTATTTCTAATTGTGAGAGAATTAATATATCTTATCTTTATAAAGAGAATAAGATTATAAGAATTTGACTTTAATGCAATGCATTTACAGTGCAAACTTTAAATTTTTCTTATTTTGTTTGAAATAAAAGTTGGATGGCATTTTATTGAATTCAAATTAGATTAAGTAAAATCTGAATGGATTTTATTTAAATCAAAATTTATTAATATACAACTGTTCTTTTTCATATGAATCTGAATTAACAATCCAGCAATTTTGACAAAAGACATGAAATTAAATGACCAGTGAGCATTTGCCAAAAATATACTGAACTCTTCTGCAAAATAATGCTACATTTTGTAGTGCCTGACAAATTATCCAATCAAAATAAACTTAGTTGGATTTTTTTGTAAGTGAATTAAAAACAGGATAATTTAAATAAGTGTTTTTTATTAAAAAATTTGTAAAAAAGAAAAAAAAGACTGGATGAAATGTTTTATTCATTTTCTAATAAATATATGACTGTTCTCTTTCATACAAATCTCAACTTACAGTCTCCAGCATTTATGTTGGAGGACTCTTTCGACAAAGTTATGTACTGATAATTTTTCATCGAACGACTAACTTGGGTAAGCGAAAAACATTCTGAAGAAATGAACACTCCTCTTTGACTGGTGAGTAATTTTATTTTTATTTGCAAGCATATTAATGCTTCTTATGTGAATGAGAATTTACCTATACTTATATTGCACTGCACTACAATGTTATGTCAATCAAAAGAAAAACGTTTTAAGTAATTATTTTCTTTAAAAAAAAAATTGGGTCAGACAGGATCTCTTAAATAAAGATATCAGTGCAGTGCTGCAATGCATCTAATTATAAGTGCTTGACGTACTGTCTACTTAAAACATATTTGATCTAGTTTCATGAAGTTAAACATTAACATAAATAGGAATTTTCTTGTCTGACTGGCGAGTGAACATTTTGAGACTCAATCAAATAAACAATCAAAGGCGCTTCTCAGTACTGCATGCTTATCCAGCTAGCGGTACTTGTTCAGTGAGAAAAACTCACTCTACATGTAAGACCACTCTTCACATGTGTGAGTGACTCTCTAGTCTTATATAGTATTCAAGCTTGTTATTCGTTAGTATTGCCTAAATATTTGCATAATCATTTTGTCTACGTTGTTCAAAGGGGCATAATTTGATTATCGAACTTTGTAAGAAACTTACATTATGCAAATTTTGCAACATACTAGTATACTTAGCCGCAAAAGGAAATTGTATATAAAGTGTGACTTTGGAGGGTGGATGGTGGGGAATGTTTCTAAATCCACGACTAGTTGTGATTGTTGAAGTACAAGTATAACTGCACCATACTGCACTCTGCTGCAATTCAATGCAGCACATTGTACTGCCTAGTCAATCGAAATAAACTTTGTCAATTTGTTGTCATTGAATTAAAAATGTCATTAAATTTTCTTTTTTCATTTAGTGTATTGAAAAAAAAGTAAAAAAAAAAAAAAAAAAAAAAAAAAAAAAAGAACAAACAAACAAACTGCTGAACTATTTTATTCACATTTTACTAATGACTGTTCTCTTTCATATAAATCTCAATTAACAATCCAAAAACTTTATGTCGAAGAGCTTTTTCGACAAAGTTACGCATTGATAATTTTTTGTCGAAGGACTAGTTTGGGTATGCGCAAAACATCCTGAAGAAATGATCAATCCTCTTTGACTGATAAATGTTTTATTTCTATTTGTGAGGGAATTAATATATCTTATCTTTATAAAGATAATGAAATTGTAAGAATTAGACTTTACTTACAGTGCAAACTTTAAATTTTTCTTATTTTGTGTTTTGAAATAAAAGTTGGATGGGATTTTATTGAATTCAAATTAAATTGATTAAAATCTGAATGGATTTTATTTAAATCAAATTTGCTGCATATTTTTTTATGCATTTATTGTGCAAACTTTAAATTTTTCTTATTTTGTGTTTTGAAATAAAAGTTGGATGGGATTTTATTGAATTCAAATTAAATTAAGTAAAATCTGAATGGATTTTATTTAAATCAAATTTTCTTAATATACAATTGTTCTTTTTCATATGAATCTGAATTAACAATCTAGTAATTATGACAAAAGACATGTTGACAAAGTTTCGTATTGCAGATTTTGTCCTGTACTCGATACTTAGGGCCATTGAGCAAGGAGAGATCTTTTTCGTTTCTGCACCTTTCATGCGCGGATTTTTTTCCCAGGCTGTGGACCCCCCCCCCCCCCCCCGAATCCGTGCATTTTAAAAAAAAAGAATTTAGTAGTTTTGTGGAACGATTTTTTAGATAAAATCCTAATCTGCCGATATTATGCACTCGATATATGCTTATTCAGATTTCTTTCACATGAAATATATTTAACAGATGGCTGCAACAAGATAGTTTATCCTTGGAAGTTCAACACTTGCAAATATAGCTTGGAATGGGATGGGTTTGAGGGCTGCATTTCATTTTTAGATTTTTGCATTGCATCCGAAATTTTTGTTTCTCTATATTTTCGACATTTTTTCCGTATTTTTTTCTTTTTTTCGAAAGTACCTTTTGTCAATTAAATGTTTACCGAGTAGGTGGAAATAGATTTTTAACAGGATATAAATAATACATTTATATCAAACCACATTTTACAAATATAACATTACGATACAATGTAAATGTATGCATGCTCGCCGCACTAAGTATAGTTTAAAGTTTGAATGTGTTAAATGAGCATGCAATTTTTATTCACCAAATTTTTTGTCTATTGAATTATAAGTCATTGACTGCACTAAAAAATTCCTCAACGATGATACGTAAATATTGATTTATATTATCAACTGTGTTTCGACGAACTGAAATGAAAACCGAAAGAGAATATGGACCATCTTAGACTATATATAAGTGGTGCTCACAGCACGGGCAAGACTACAATTATACAGGACCTCTGCCCTCACCTCCCAGGGGTAAGGGTAGAAAAGGAAACAGCCAGACGAATCATAGAAACACATGGCTGGCAAAGAACGGACTTTCATCCAGAGCGTTATCCTCAAGTTTTTGAACAACTGAACACCGAAATTCTTTTAGCAAATATCAAAATTGAAAAGGACAACTTCCTTGAAAAAAGAGGTTTGTAGCTTGACTAAGCTTGTGCAGATCTAGAGGGTGGGGGTCCAGATTCACTCTTCTGAAATTTACGGAGTTATTAAATTTAAAAGAGTAAAGGACAACATAAAATAACCTTTGAACTCCCTCAATAGAAAACGCCTGTTAAACTAGAGGTATACTGTGAGCACTGAGCTCACTCAATGATACCCCCACTCCATTTTACTCACTGGTATATAGGAGGAGTTGCGGATGAAAGATGTGTTCCCTTCAATATTACAGAAAAAATGGCAGTGTCAATGTTTTGCTATTGGAAACCCGAAATATGTGTCCGATCAAAAAGTAAATAGGAGGTGTACAATCAATGGCACTATGTAGCACAGATTCTGTGAAAGTTTCGTTAAAGGCCATTCAGTGGTATTAGAGGAGTTGAGGGTTTTGAGACTCCAGAGCGTAACAGATGGAAGATTACGTACACTTTGAATGCTAAACTTATACCCTCTCACTTTTCAAAGGGGGGGGGGGTACAATAATAAGTTGATTGGGAATTATAGTCATACATATGAAGCTTTTAAAAGAATTGAAAGAAAACTGCTTCCTATAGGATTTTTACGTTTGCAGAAAGAATTTCTCCCTCTTTTATATGTTTTTCAACAAATTTCTGGGTGCGTTTTTTTTAATCCTTTAACCCCCTTTTGGTACTTTTACCTGATTATTGGTTTTACAAAAAGGTATTGTGCACTTTTAAAACAAATTTTGTATTTCTGTTTTTACTTTTTGACGGTTTTGATTCATTTTACGGGAGCCAGAAATCATTAAGTCAGACTGTTTTCGGACTACCTGCAAAACTGTGTTTATATTAAATACCCTCACCCCCTGAAAAAGATAGTTACCATCTTATGTTTAACAAAAATATATGAACATGATTTTTGACAACAATCCCACACATTTAAAGGACCCCCCTTTAAATTCCCCGCTTGAAGAGGTAGAGGGTATTTAGTGATCGAATTTGTCCATCGTCTATTCTGTAAAAGTTTCACTATATATAAGCTCCAGTTCTCACGAAGGGTTTCAATAATGGTTAACACTGACAGTTCTTTTGCAAATTTAAAATTATGGACTCTTTTGTTTTAAGAGGTTTGTCAGCATACAAATTGTGATTTTTTTTAGCAGAAATGAGTGTTATGTGACTTAAAAAATCATTCTATTAAATTTAGTGTCAACATAAAATAATACTTTGAACTATTGTCCCCTGTATACTAGAGGTACTGTCAAAAGGTTCATTCAATGATACCTTCCCTTACTCCATGTTACTCATGTTTTGCGCCATGAAAATTTTTTTCAAAAAGTCACATAAAAATTTGTCAATGTCACATAACCTGCATTTGTGTCCGTTCAAAAAGTAAATAGGAGGTGTACAATCAATGGCACTATGTAGCACCTTTCTGTGATACGAAGTTTCGTTATAGGCCATTCAGTGAAATTTAAGGAGTTGATTTTACAGAATATTCGTTACATATAATGCTATATTCTTCTCACCTCAAATTTTACTTAATAAGTTGATTGGGAAAACATATGAAGCTTTTCCAAGAAAAAGCTTGAAACTGCCATTTTATTTTTAATTTGCAGAAAGAATTTCTCCCTTATATGTTTTTCAACAAATTTCTGGGTGCGTTTTTTTTTAACCCCTTTTGGTATTTGCCTGATTATTTATTACATAATGCCATTGTGCACTTTTAATCTGACTTATTTCGGTTTTCCCATAGCAAAACATGAACTTTGCCATTATAATCATATGGGAGGTGGGGTTATCATTTAGTGAGCTCACTGCTCACAGTACGTTTAGTTTCCATATATTTCGACTCAAATTTGCAGAAACTTGTTGGGTTCTGTATTTAGATTTTCTTTGCGACCGGTGTCTAGATCCAATGGCATACACGGAGATGTATCTTGGACCTGAGGCCTTGGACAGAATCAAACACACAAAAGGACTCCAACAGATGATAGAGAGGTAGCATATATTTAGTTTGATTTGTTCATCCTATTGAAAAGTTTACGCTCATGTGATCATCTGAGGAAGGGTTTCATCCCTATGCAAGAAATTACACACTCTGGAAGCTTACTTGGAAATGAAAAAAAAATTAATTGGATTAATTTTTTTTGTTTCCCAATCTTATTTAGGTTACAGTCATCAGTGATTTTCCTTATTGAACCTCAGCCTGAGTGCATTTCGGATGACGAAGTGAGACTGGTGTCGACATTGGAGGAACTACACACGTATACAACCTACTTAAAAAGACTGTACGACAGTTTGGTCATCCCTTATGTGACAGTAGATATACTAGATCGCAGGGACCGGGTGTCCTTCATCCTTCAATGTTTGCAAACCAAAGCACCCATGAAAATTAAAATCAAAAATTTAAAGCAATAAAAAAGATTTGATGCAACATTCACATACCAAGTATTTTTTTTCTGTTGTACGTGAAGATTACAAGGCGTTTATTAGCCACCTTTACGAAAATGAAAATACCAAAGTACATGTATCTGGAGATTACTTAATTTCATGTCTCAAAACTATGTGATGACAGTTATTAGCACATGAAGTTTATATTTTAAAGCTGATTTTTTACAAGCCCCACTCCCTTTTCCAATCTTTAACCTGAGGGATATGACTTGAACAAAACTAATTGTACACAACAGAAGAAGCCTTCTAAACATAGAATATTTTTAGTTGGCCTACACTGCTACATTTGTATACTCTGGGGATCGAATTTTCCTAAGTATCTGTAGTTTTAGAATTTATTAACTTATTGGATATAATGAATCATGCTTACACAAAATCAAAATTAGCTGTTCCTATGTGCATGTTAACTGTATGAATTATGGAGATTACAAATTTAAAGCAACCCAGCTCAAAATATGGGATCAGGTGCCATGGAGTGAGAACCTGCTGTATATTAAATTTGGCTACTTAAAATAAAAAGTTTAATTTCTTTTTTGTACAGAAATAGTTCTTTTATTACATACGCAACAATTTTTGACACAGCAATATTTAGTTTTACAATTTCAAAAATCGTCTGACTTAATTGACAACACAACAATATACAAAGATGCATTGTAATGTTCAATGTTAATTCTTCATCACAGAGAATGGTCAAGAAAGAGTATGTTTGACCAAATGCAGTTCTATACATCAAAAGCCATATCAATGCAGGTTTTGATCCCTTATCTAGCCAAATGTGTACATCTAGCTTGCAAAAGGTTAAATACTGTGAGCTAGCAAGGGTAGAATTTATGAAATTACACTAAATGCAATTTTTTGTTGGCAGAAATGTGTTAACTAGTACTAAAAATGCAATTTTCACTTTTGCCTTATTTAGGCAGAAATTTGTGTTAACAGTTAAAAATGCCATTTAATAAATTTCTACAAACTTCCAAACCGTAAACCTGTTAACCATAAGTAATTAATTTATTTAAGTTAATGTGTAAGAATATTTAACGTTTAACTTCAAGCAGTTTTCTGCTAAAAACAATGTTTTTTGAAATACATATATAACGGCAGAGTTTCAATGTTAATCTGTTAATGAACATAGTACATTGAAAATATATATTATGTTAATTAAAGTTTACAAATCCTGTATTTGTCTCCAATGACATGCAAATGATTTTTTCTGTTAAGATAGTTTACGGTTGTGACATTAGACACAAAGGGAGATAAACATGCATAATGGGCACTTGACATTTTTTCAGTATTTTATATTTATGTACTTTCATATTGCATATTTAAATGTAAATATAACTTTATATAAGTAACCATTGTTCAAAATATTATCAAAATTTGGCATGTTTTATTTTATATTATTTTTCTTCACTGAAAGTACTCAATTATACCTGTTTTACCTAAAAATTCAAGAACATTGGAATTTCAAAAAGCCAGTTCTCCTAGACCTGGACTTTTAAATGAAATTTTTTAATAGGATATAAAAGCACCAAGTCTGTATTTTATTTAAAAAAAAAAATCAAAAATTTGCCTTTAGTCAAACCTTAAAATGGACAGACTGCTATAAATTCTAAATGCATTTGGGCAAAAATAATCAGTGCAAAAAGGTCACATTCCTGATCTGCAGCATACACATTTGAAATGGACAATTTAAAAATTAAATTAGATTTGATAAAAAGAAAAAAAAATGTTTCATCAGCCCTGACATGAACATTTATTGGTGACCAAGAAAACCAGATGGAAAAAGTCAATAAAAATATCAAAAAATAAAATTTGTCTGTAAAGACAGTACATAAATTTGGTTGAACCTTATGAAACTCTTTAAATTCTAAATGATTGCTTTCAAAAAAGCACATGAAGTAACATTTGAAATGGACAATTTAAAAAAAATGTTTGATCACTTTAATCAAAAACATTTATTGAATATATTTAATATAAAGGTTTATGAAATAGTTTAATATTCTACTGATGCTTTCACATGTGCATGTACAAAGAGACATTATATTAATGGAACTGTACCATCCAATTAGCCCCTTCACGATAACTGCGGTACTACACTTTTGCAGGGCAAAATAATAACGTTTGGCGGAGTTTTTGTTGATAGATAATTAAATGACGTATATTGAACATTCTAATGCAATTGTTTTGTAAAATACGTTTTGATTGGCTAATGCACTAATGTTTGAAGCAGTAAAACGAGCATTAACGAGCGTGAAAACTTTTTCATTGTGACGTCACAAAAGAGCGACGCAAAAACACAATGATCCGTGACGTATTTTATTTAACGAAAATCAACAAAATAAGACGTAAACAACAAACAGAATGCATGGATTGCATTAGAATCTAATCTTCTAATTTGGTAACCGTTAATGCTGATTTAACGGTCGCACACGCGTAACGGAGCCGGTATTAGCGACCGTTAAATTTAACGGTCGCAAATACCAAATTAGAAGATAGTTATTCCCTAAATTACTTTTACGTTATATTTCACCAAACTATATCATTTTGCCTTGCAAAAGAGCAGTACTGCAGTTACCGTGAAACGGTCTATTACCAATATTGCGTGAAACCTACCCACCCCCACCTTTTTTTTAAGAAAGTAAAGGGTGACTTCAGGAAATTTGATAGGTTGTGTCCTCTCAAGCTGATTTCAATTCCTTTAATTCTTAGGATCTGATTTAAAAGAAATATAAGGTAATTTTATATAAGATCTGATTTTAAAAAAAAAAACAAAAAAAACTTGTATGGATTAATTACAAGTTAATTTAAAATTTCGAGATTGAACTTGGAGTATCTATATAATTTGCTTTCGTTTTCTCTATCTTTCGTTTCTTTTTCTTTCGTTTTTTCTTTACTTTCCTTTCTTTCTCTTTTGTTTTGATAAAGATAGTTTTAGTAGATTATTTTCTTTTTTTTAATATTATCCACATTAAAACCTATATTTTTATTCATTGGGACAGGTTTCAAAAAAATTCTATATTTCATTTTACCAATACATAAAACTAACATTACAGAAAAAAATATGTACATAAATAGATTACAAATTATTAATTAACGCATTCAATCAAAATCACCCTTATTGCTAATTAATGTAAATTGATGAAATTAATAATCATTGACAGATGTTGGTGTTTCCATTGAAAACTATAAACAAAAATTTCATTGGCCAGACGATGATATCCCCATGGCGACAATTGTTGTGTAATCTACTATTGGCCTAGAGCTTGATCACGTGATCTTTTGCACTTAACTTTGCTCCAGTTCAAACATGGCCGTCAAGTTTGGCAACGATAAGGGGGGTCGATAATTTTAACAAATTCTTTTAATTAGCAAGTTTTACACGGATATTTTAACTACATGGAGACTTACAGGGTTTTAAAGAAACATTTTGTGGTGAAATAGTGTATTTATACTATTTGGAAGGCATTGAATTACATCAGGTAAACAGAGAATAATTGCTATCGATATTGCAAGAGGAAAACTGACCTATTCGGCTATCTAGAAACGAAAGTGATAGCTTTATTGAAGAATGGCCGATGAAAATGATATTATTGGTAGTGCTTCCGAGTTCATTAAAGGTGAGAAGAATTTTATACGCTATAAAATGATTAAATGATTTCTGTGTATTTTCCCTTTCAGTCTAAACATGTCTCGACAAGGTCTCAGTGAACCTTGAAATGTGTCTTTACAGAAAATTAATGAGTTTCACACATGCATTTCAGATCGACTATATTTTGCTACATTGAGAACGAAGCCTAGATCTACAGCACACACACATTATTTTTGTGTTGATGATGAGCTTGTGTATGAAAAGTAAGTAGATTTCTTTTTAATTAGATAGTCATAATAGATATATAAAGATTTAGAAAATTTTTTGCCCCCAAATAATTTATAACAAGATTTTTAAATGAGTTATTACTATAATGTACTTTAAGGGCATGATTTATTCATGTTATTTGAATATATGCATGTCCAATTGTTGTACAGATTTCTGAAGATCATGGACTAATTTTATATCCCTGGTGCTATGGCAGGCCAGTTATAAATGTTTATTGTATTTTCCCAAACAATTCTATTAAAAGAATGACCTACCAACCATACTTCTGTTTCACATTTTGTAAAAATATAAAAAAAAAAATATTCAAAAACTTATCTCCCCAAAAGCCTTACAAAGTGTTTTACCTAACTTGTTTACATTCAGGCATATGATATTGTCTTTTCAAATAATCTTCTTGTTTCCACCATTGTTCATCTTCTAGCATAACTTATTGCATTTCCCATTTGCAAACTTGGAAAAATATTTATGGATGTAATATATATATATAAACCAAGAATCTTTCAAGTCCAAATGTTTGTCAAAGACTCATCATAATGGTGCTATTCGAAACGACATGTTCAGTGCATCAGTTTGTTAATGTAGTGATCATAGTCTTCATCTTTGTTGAAATGAACTTTTTTTTCTCTCGCCTGGCCAAACTGGAATATAATTGCTTGTTTGGATCAAAGTATTTGTAATGGAATATAAAGTTATTCCACAAAAAATTACTAATTGGATTTATGGCCCAATCCTGTAAAAATGATAATACTGATGATGATATAATCAAGTAATAGTGTACTCATGTAAGAACCTGTAATTTTGATCACCTCCCTCCCCCCCCCCCCCCCTTTTAATATATGTAAAAGCTACAATATGGGCCTATATTAAGTTTAATCATTTATCATGTTTACAGATGTTATATAATACATGTATCTGAGTTTTGTTTTTTTTTTTTTTTTTAATGTTTTCACCATGTTCACTATCATAGGACATCAAATAGGAAGTAAATTTGTACATGCCCCATATATACTTTAATTTAAATATTTCCTTGCTTTTGGAAAAGTTTTCAGGTGGTCATAGTTTGAGAGCGAGGGCCAAGTACATGCATAAAAAG